AATACATACTAAAAAGTGACTTCAATGGGCATGCCCTTTGAGAAGTTCTGTTTCTAAGAAACTGATTTAAGAAAATGTTGAGATGACTGAACAAAGTGTACAGAACTGATTATCACAGAATTTCCATAACAGTAATAAACACCAGAAAAGGAACACAACCAAACTACCTAAATATCCAGCAACTGGGGAACTCTAGTAAATAAACTGGCAAAACCACGTAATTGAATACTATTAAACTCTTGCAAGGAACAAAACAATACAGATCGATAGGTTTGCCTCTGGGGGACTATTTCTGATCTATTAATGGGAAAAAAGTCACAAAACAGAGGGGGGAGGGGCAAGACAGGGGTGTGGGATTAAGAGATACAAACTACTGTATAAAATAGATAAGCAACAAGGGTATATTGCACAGCACCGGGAATTATAGCCACTATCTAGTAATAACCTTTAATGTAATCTAATCTGTAAAAATACTGAATCACTATACTGCACACCTGGAACTAATATAATATTGTAAGTCAAATATACTTCAACTTTTTAAAAAAGTCACAAAACAGGAAGTGTTATATGACTATTTTTGTAAGAATAAACTATACTTATAAATTAAAAATTTAAAAGGATATACATCCAAATGTTAAAGAGTTCACATTTGATTGGCTATTTGGTTACATATTATTTTTTATATTTTCATATAATATACAATATTCTGACAATATATAAAATGTATTTTATATTTATATAAATATTTTACAGAAAGCATGGGTTTTTTTTTTTAAGTCAGAACAAAGATTTATGAAAATGTAAGATGGTGAATACAGTGACTTCATTCTTTCACACACATGAGTGAAGCACCTCCTGTGTGTCTGGCCTGAGATGCACTCAGGGAAGGCAAAGCTAATCAGAAGAGTTTCCTGCTTTTAAGGAGCAGCCTGGAAGGCTATGGGTGAGGAAGCAAAGGAGGGCAGGGAGATGCAGAGTGACATTGGAGCTGTGCCTTAAAGAAGGAGTAGAAATTTTCTAAATGAGACAGAAAAGGCTGGAAAAATAGTCTGGACCAGGGCAACAAGACTGGAGAAGACACAGGAAGATCAGGGCTGCCGTGGACGGTTGTGCAGTTTGTGCACTGTAGAAGGCTACCTGTTGAGGAAAGAGGAGGGGTGAAAGGCATAGCAGGCTTTGCTTGCCAAATCATACATACTGGTTGCATCTTCCCAGAGGAAGGGGTACCTCCTTCCCTGAGCCTTTTTAAATAGAGGAAAGGGTCTTTCATTTGTGTCACCACTTTCTGTTTTTACAGATGTTGAGTCCCAAGGCTGGGTCTACCCAGAGAACGACAGCTTTTCCTGTTTACACATGGTACACTCAGGGCATCAAGGGCCCTGCATAAGCGAGTCCTGAAATCCTTATTTGGGAAATGATCTTCAGAAGGGCCCTGGCATGTGCTCTCCAGAGCTACTTCAAAGCATGTGATTTGCTTTATATAGTTAGAGGCATTATTGCAGGATGCTGGCAAATTGTGGAAAGTATTGGAGGAAAAAAAATGTACGTAAAATGTTCAGCTTAACAGCCTGAATATGTATGAAAAGCCCTTCAAATAACTATGCCCTTTAACTTTGCAGTTCTGCTTTTCAAAATTTATTCTAAAGAATGAACATAAAGGTTTGCATCATATAAGTGAGTCACTGCAGAACTGTTTATAGCAGTGAAAAAAAATCCACAATCTACAAGCTCAGCGTTTAGAGGTGGGTTCAATAAAGTACAATATGTCAGTGTTACGAAACACTAAACCAGGCAGCAGTTTAAAAGACTGGGTGAAATGCCCCTGCTAGGAGAGTCTTAAGCATTGCATGTCTGACTTGGCATTGACTGGACCGGTCTGTTAAGTTTTGCTGAATTATCTGTCCTCCCTGCTATAGGGACTCTGGCTCCTTTGCTCACCATTGGTCTAACACAGCATCATGCATATGGTAGTTTATTTAAGGAATGAATGACTAGATGTGCATAGAAAGAAGACTGGAGGAATATGCACCAAAAGTTTAGAAAGCTTATTTCTGGATATTTAAACATTTTCCTTCTTTGTACTTTTTTTCACATGCTCTAAATTTTCTACAGTGGACCCAAAAGAATTTTATAATCAGAAGAGAACAACATACTATCCGTAAAAATTGTAACTCAGAGGCTACATAAAGTATCTGAAGCCCAGTTTTGAAAAAGACACCCCTGCATGGCTCTTTATAGCACTCAGGTTAAAAAAGGTGACTGATGATTCTCATTACCAAAAAATTCAGGAAAGGAGCCCATGAGACTGCAAATTCTTCTAGGACATTTAAAAGTTGGCATGATTTTCAAAACAGTGCATCTATATACTAATTTTCAGGACAAATCTTTAAGGGAAATTCACTGGCTTAATTTTATTTTGTGAAAGCTGCACTGTCTAGAAATCTTCATCCCCCTAACCCAAACCAGCCATTTTACCGAAAGCATGGATGGCATCAAGTATTTTTATGACAGTCTGAGGTTTACATTTTACTTCTCTTTGCAGTGAAAATAATATGGTTTTTCCTAGTAAAATTAAAAAATATATGTATGTATCTTAAAGTTTGCATCCTGGTATTCTTTGCCAAGGACAATGGAAAACAAAACCATACACAATTTTAGATTGTACTCCAACTGTTGCATTCTATGGCTCTGCCCTCCAACTCTCTCTTCCTAGGTCCCAAAGGCACGCCTTTCCCAAGCTTCTCCTTCTTTTATTTTGTAGAAGCACAGGGAAAAATATGTAAACAATCCAGGTTGTTCTACTCTTTTGAAGCTCCTTCCCAGTTAATTCTGGTCCACGTCTGCCTAGTGAACACCCTGCCACACATAGATACACACACCTCATAACTGCAGCTTGCATCATGTTCTCTCCAAAAATCTCATCATTCAATTTTGCCCTCACCCAAGGCCGACTAATAAGCTGGTTGATATCAGCTGTGCTTTTTAACACCAGTCTGACTTAATGCCCTGCCCCAAGGCTGCCATGCTAATGATAGTAATTTGACAAGTGCAAGCTTTAATGCTCTGGGTTCCACACGCCACGCCAACTGTCTTAGGGTAACCTCCACCCAACCCATCATCTCAGCAGTGGCCCCCAGGAAGCAGAGGGGAAGTGCTAATAACCTGTGACAACTCAAGGAGAGGCCCCTGTGCTTTCCAAGTCCACATTCTGTCCCTGTGCCTTCTTCTTGGAAGCGCATGATGACATTTCCTAGCAGAGGAGACAGGCACACAATGAAAGGGAAGCTGCCCTGTGACACAGAGCAACAGGTGAGAGTTCTTGAGTTAAGTACACAAGGTCTGTCTAATCCCAGGCTCATCAAAGCCGAGCCCAGCCTTCCGGCTGGATTAAAATCACTCCTATTACCCAACAGTCACCCTTCATTTCATCTGAACAGAGGCTTCTTTCTACTGCAGAGAAGCGTCCTCAGGAAGGACCCTTAGGGAGGGAACTTCAGGCACAGTGGCAGGCTGGTAAATGAATGTTTTTGCACATGTGTTGTTTCTCTAAATCAAAATAATTTTGTAAATTTTGGTAAATCAAAGTAATTTTTAAAACATGGCTGATTCAGACTATCATTTTTGCACAGCTTCCCTGACTTGTACCTTCAGAGCACACTGCTTGGTCCAGGGAGGCTATGTGGTCATGGCAGGTGCACACAGCTTCATGGGCCTTGGCAGTCATCTCGGCAGACTGTGCTCTATTCCAAGACTTTGACCATGACCCCTTGCTTAGTGGCAGGGTCTGGAACGGCTGTTGTGCGTGACTGGGTCTTCTCATTCTTTGCCTTGCCCCACGCCCCCAGTGCTCCCTTTTCTGATTTTATTGTGACTCCAGTTCCTGGCAGTGAAACTGGGGCTTGGTTAAGTACCACAACTTGGCAGCTGGGGCATGATTCTGACCTCAAGCTCCTGACCTTATAAAGCAGCACTCACTGCCCAATGCAAGTACAGTGTAAGTGACATAGTAATTCAGAATTTTCTAAGTAGTCACATTAAAAAGAAACAGATGAAATTAATTTTAATAACAACTTCTTCAACTCAGTATATCCAAATATTATCACTTAAGCCTATAATCAATATAAAATTATTAAAGAGATATTTTCTATTTCTTTGTACCAAGTCTTGGCAATCGGGCGTGCATTTTGCACTTATGGCACATGTGAAGTGGGACTAGATCAAGGGCCACATGTGGACAAGAGGCTACTGTATGAGACACTGCAGTCAGAGGAAGCACAGGAGAACTCTGGAGATCATCCAGCCTGACTTCTTTTTTACAGAAACGTTAAGTACATTTGCTGAGGTTATGCAACAAGTTAGCAGAAAAGGTGGGATTAGAGTCCAATTACCCTCAGCCTACCCTGTGGTTTTATTCACAAAGCTGATCAGTAGCACAGCTGGAGTGGAACCCACACCGCCTCTGGCCCGCTCGTACCTGCTCTGGGGCTCTTTTTCACCAGGCCCAGCCTCGAGGGGACAGGCCCCTCTACCTGTAATAACTTTTCTCCTAAATAAACTAACAGCTTTACTGGAAACACTTTGGCTGCAGCATGGGGTCAAATTTTTCCATCTTTCCACCAGATAATGTTTTTTTTTATGACTTGCCACCTTTGTCCCCAGAAACTGTTTTAACAAGCTACTTAAAAACTCTGATTCCTTTATGCAATGGTTCTCAATAGAGTTGTCCATCAGAATCACCTATGGAGGCTTTCTAAAAATTCAAATTACTGGTCCCCTACTCCTAAATTCTGATTTATAAGGCTGTGGAGGAATTCAAATAGGGAGCTATTTTTCTGAATGGTTCCCAAGTTCTGATGCACACCCCCAACTCACAATGACCTCACCAGATGTCAGATCACCAGGGACATTGCCTGGCGCCCTGGTGGCTGAACGCAGGTCTGGGCTCAAGAGCGAGCCTGATCTCGAGGAAAGAAACAGGAGAACTAGGTTCTCCAGTACCTCCTAGGGCGGGGCTTTCTGGCTTGCTTTCCTCCTTGCTCTTTCTCTGCACCCAAGGACACTTTTAGCCTCATTTCCTGATCTTACAGCCTCACCTGCGGTGTGGAGCTGCTGGGGCAGGCAGGCATGCAGCAGACAGGACTCGCTCTCGTGGCCTTGGCTGCCTGTGTGGCTCTTCATCCCTCGGAAGGTGAGTTGGGGGCTGGCTATCTAAGCCTCCAGTGGAAGGGGGGGGCTGCCTTCCAAGATGGAGCTGGAAGGAGCAAAGTACTCTAACAATTAGGGGCGTGAATTTCCAAGTATCTACACAAGAATGGCATAGGTTTGAATTCCTCATCTCCAAGAGGCAATTTCGGGAAGGAACCTCATTTAAACAGGAATATCAGTAATTTGCCACCAGAAGGATCAGATTCCTCCACACCAGTGCAACTTTGAGCAGTGATTCCTTTTCTGATGACAGTGTTTTAGAAAATCCCCAGGTAGAGGTTGGAGGAAAGCCCCTATTATTCAACTGTCTCCCCCTTCACCCTGACCAGCTAAACTGTCCGAATACAAACGTGCATGTTCCTGAAGAAAGACAGACTTGCCCTTCTGGTTTATGGCTTGGTAAGTTGCAAGCTTTCTGAACAAAGTCAGCCGTGTGGGTACTGATAACCAAAACTTCAATCTGATCTTAAAATAGAGACACAGGATAAGAGACTGAAGCACACAAATTACATCAAAGAGAACTTCAGTTATGAGCTGCTAGCATAGATATGGAGATTATAACTGCACTTGGACTGGAGGCAATCTTTTCTAATTTTTTAAGGAAACCCTAAATATAGGTATTTAATACCTGACTGATTTGACTTTTCTTTTCTGAAACTTTACCCTGAATGGGATTCTCTAAATTCAGAACAGAGGTGAAACGTAAGTTTTGTTTGATCTGCTTTTATAAAAATTAAGCCAACATTTTTAAATTGACAGATTTCATATACACATACTAATAAACACACATACATAATTGGATTGTAGAGCTTCTGTTGAAAAATCAGAGCTGGCAAAACTGGTTCCACATTTCCTGGCAAGAATTAGAGCTGACTAGCCTCAGTCTTTCTCTGGAGCTGGCTATCACCTTATCTACTGCCTGGTTCCTGTAGGCATTTGCTTAGGGACCCCATTAAAGTGCCCGATGCACTGGGCTTGCATTACTGTGCACAGGAAACATCTGGATAAAATGAAAAAAAAGTTTGTCATTTTATATGTTTCTGTAAATTTTCAAAGAATTTCACTATTGAAATTTTAGGAATCACATCCATTGTTTCCCAAAAGTCCACCTGCTAAGGCTTTACTCCTAGTTTTGGAAATGCAATTCTTTTTCCATAAAGCTTTGAAGTAAAGGTGCATACATCTCCCACTTCGGCTTCCTGGCCTGTTTCCAGCTGTCCCTGCAGCAGCAGCAGCAGCAGCCCTCCTACAGGAGAGGGAAGGAAGGGCAGGCGGAGCGGGTAGGGGAATGAGGGAAGCCCTGGCAGACCCACAGCCAAGGTTTCCAAGGAACTGAGTTCTGGCAGAAAGGGTGGGACAGCAAAACACAAAGGTGTATGAAAAGGAGCAGCTGGTGATGATAAGAAAGAGAACTGAGAAGACCCAAGAGTAACTTTCTGGGTTAGTCTTGGGGCTTTTCCTAAGGCAGTTTGGGTCATAGGAAAATCACATTGTCTGAGAAGTGCAACTTTCTGCCATTTAAAAATAAGTGATGTCGGGGTAAAGATACATGAGAGTAAGCCTAAGAACAGTCATGGAACTGAGAGAGCAAACCCCACTGCTTTCCGTAGCAAACTTCCATTCAAGTGTCTGTGTATCTCGGGTGCCCTGTAGGAGGCTACCTGGGATTCAGGCTGGGGGGACAGTCAGGCTTGGAAGGAGGGAGGTAAATACTGAGGAGTGCAGGGAAGGAAGTATAGGTGGCCTTGGCAATTGTCTTGGGCTGGGGGAGGGGATAGGGGAATGGCCCATGCCAGTTTGGGACCGTGGGAAATACATTTTGTTTTTCTAGACATTAAATGTTCCATTAGCTTAATGTTGCCTGAAGTGGCCATCTTGATGTGATGGCTCAGTGATTGGCATTTCCAAAATGTTCCGCATAAACCAGGAAGCAGTTGACTTACCCATAATTAAAAACCCTGGATTCTACCTGAAGATAGGGCATACTCCATACCTGTTGATGTGGCTGCTGGCTCCCAGAACTCAGTTGAGTCCATAAAAATGTCTATCATGCAGCAGCCAAGAGCCAGATTACTTAAAGCCACAATCTAGGGCTTTGTGGGCCTTGCTGTTTTTATTATACATTAACGACTAAGGGTCCATTTTTGTCCAGCAGACACAAGTTGGAGGATTTTGCTTCACTGAGTCCCAGATTGGCTTCCTCTGACAACCCACTTTCTCATAGTAGGATAGCTCCTAATTAGATACTTGCTAGGGACTGGCTGTTTGCATCCTAATAGAAAACATCTTTTGTTTTAATCATAGGAGACTCACTAAAGAGAGTTGCCAAAAATATACATTTGGACTTGAAAGTTGTTCTGCACAGTGGGGCTCTCCACTTCACCAGGAGTAGTTCCCAAGAGGTCAGACATGATGTGCTCAGTAAATGTGCCCTTCAGTTTCTCTCCAAGTGTGCCCTTTAATTAAAACAACAGGTCCTGCATTCCCTGAGTTCAATGACATTGTTGGATTAAGTGTCTAAATTTTATTAAAAAATCCAATCATATCTTTAATGTAGTTCAGGGTGTTTTTTCTTAAAATATCCTTTTCTGTGTCTAGAGAAACAGAGTGATATAATAGCAATTTTCTCAAATTTCAGTTATATGCAGGTCCCTTTAATGGAAAACATTCTTATTCTCAATGATGATTCCTAAATTATTTCACTACATCACTTGATGTATAAGCATAAAACTAGGTATAAAACCCTTGTGAATATACCTCTTCTGCAATTATAAAGCCAAAATAAATTTTAAGTAAAAATACAACTACAAAGCCAAGATTTAAATGTAACAATATTAATTTAATGTAACAGTTAATGTTTGGCCCAAACTAAAATCACCATTCCAAACACAAATATAGCACTGATACTTGAAGCGAAGATTTCGAGCTTTATGTGCATAAACTACCCTGTTCCAAATAAGAAGTGTTTTTCCACCACCTTTTTCTATTGAACCATGATGGTATAATTTGCCCCTCCCCCTTAGGACACAACCCATCTTGAAATTCCTCCCTGTTCTCTTCTGATCGATGTGGGACAATTAAGGTAGTATCCGACTTGGTAACAGCACTAGCATAAACCTAAAGCAAAATTCAAATCTCCTGCAAGTGCTCCTTTAAGATGGTCTTCCAGAAGGTCCAGACCATGCATGTCTATTTAAAGATGATCACTGAGATGACATTAAATTTAGGCATTGTCTGTACAGCTCATGGACCCTGAGAACACATCTAAGAGCCCCTCCCAGAGGTCAATGAAGCCCAGTTTAAGAGATGCTGGGATACT